TGCAAAATGAGGTCTAGTTGGTGAGACAAGGGAAGGACAATGGCCCTCAGCTTCTCCAGTGGTCCTGCACATACCCCTTACATTGAGGAAATAACATGGCCAAGAGCCTCTTACCTGTGCTTTTATTTTTAATTTGGTTAGAAAAATATTTGTGAAGTTCCTTGTCAGAGCTGCCAAAATCTTCTGCAGTTCCTCAGTGTCGACGTGAAACTCTCTTTCTAACCCTGACCTAGAGACAGAGACAGAGACCACTAGTGAGTTAATGTTAAAATGTAAACTATTACAGTGACCTAAGCATTTTATCTGGATTGGCATGTTGGATATTATGTTTAAATAAACTCGTGTTTGTAGTACTTCCTCTTGGAAACACTTAATGGGTCAAAGTAATGGCTCCTTTTGCACAATCCTGTGCACAGAAAATGAGTCACAGCTATGACTGTGCTTAAAAACCCCACAGATTTCCTCATCAGATGGGATGGTGCAGCCATGCAAAGCAGTTGCATAGGCTGGTTGCTCTTTCACTTGAGCAACACCTCTGCTAAATGGTCTCCAAGTACCTGGGAAAGCACTGAGGGGCCATGGGTGAAGAAAAAAGTAAATAATAAAGCCAGAGAAGGGAAGGCTGTTGACTCTGTTTCCCCCAGAGCCCATCTGAGTCACTTCACACAATGTCTATCATCAGCAGCTAGGATGGTGACTATGCTTATGGAAACCTGTGAAATATCCTAAGGACAGTGCATCCTTCTGCAAGGTTTCACCCCATGAGGAAGAAAACACCTTCAGAGAGGTTAATGAAATCCCCAGAGTGTGTTGTGGGCTTTGGGGGCATTGTAAACTCCTGTCTTTCTTCTTACTTTCCATCCCTGTCCCACTGTAACACACTTTGGGGGTGAGGGGACTGGAGCAACTGAGGAAGCAGCATCACAAAAAAAAGTCAGCACCAGTGGTGCCCAAGCTTCCCTGGATGTGCCCACATCCACTGCTGTGACCACAGAGAGCAGCAGGTTCCTGCCACTACCCAGTAGATACTTTATAAGTCTGAGGTTGCCCAGGTAGGACTATAAAGCACTCAACAGCATCCCTGTCATGCCAGGCTGGAGCTCAGGGCTGTAACTCCAGCTGGGGTCTGGTTCCAGCATCCAAAAAATCATGCTGTTAGCTCATCTAGTTCTGCCCAGCAACTCATCACCCCAGGCTGATGAATATTTAGCTTAATTCAGGAATAAATTCAGCGGAGCCAATCGGCCACCCAAACGCTGCCAGCTCCCTGCCTGGGGCTGGTGACTCCATTCGCCCCTTCGCCAGTCTCCAGCAGGGAAGGGGAGAGCAATTTTCCGCAGGGTCAGGAGGAGGCAGTGAAAGCCAGCTCCTCGGCGAGGTTAGCATTGCTGGAGAGACCGTGCCATCTAGAGACTTCCCGACGGTAGTGCTCACTGCGGCTGGAGCCGTCGGCTCCTGCGAGACACCGAACACGAAACCGTCTCCGTCCCCTCAGTAATATTTGGCATATAGCAACCCCGCTGGAGGCAGTGCCAGGCAGCAAGGCAGCAAACACGGGCTGGAGATCACAAGCCAAGCTTTTTGGTGGCCAGAGCCCACACATTATTCCTGTGTTGTTTTGCTGGGTTCGCCTCTGAAGCACCACATGTGCATGCCAGAGATGACCCCTGATGCTGAAGAGCCCCTGGGCCTCGGCGAGTCATGTCCCTGCGTGGCTGCAGACCGTCCCCCTGGGGCAGGTGTATGAACAGCACCAATTTTCCGTGGAACTGGCACTGGGGGGCTGTGGCAGCTGTGAGTGGCTGCAGAGTGGGATGTGCAAGGTCATCTTGTGCCACAGCACTGGGCTGAGGGACCAGACCCTGGGACATGCACTCACTGGCACCATCCTACTTCTGGGGAGAGTGATAGTCAGATCTCTGATAGCCAGCACTGACGATACCTGTTCATCAGAGGCCCTTTTCAACACATGACTTGAAATAACTAATTCATGCAAAGTCCTGGAATTTCCAGCTGTTAGCAGCAATGGCAGGGGTTTATTTTCAGGTTGAGTGCTTCCATAGAGTTTCCTCCAGCCCAGTGCCAAAGGCAGCCTTGAGACCGTGTTTCTGGGTTTATACTGCTAACCTCCAGAATAAAACATGGAAAAAACCCTCCTCTGAGACTGAAAATGAGTTTAAAAATTTCATGCAAGCACTGCATCTGTTCATGTTTCTATCTACTCAAGCTTGTGACTTCTATCTGCAACCCTTGGGGAAAATTCCCCTGTGAGGTTAGAAGGGCTGGAAACTGAGCACCCAGCGAGGCACCCCAAGGAGACCTTGGTCTTTCCTTCACAGATGCTGTTACCCTCCCAGACCTCAAAAACATGCCATCTGAGCTCAGAGGGAGTGGACTTACATTAGTTCGTGGAAGCTGTTTATGTAGGCAACAACATAGGCTGCAAAGATGGGGCTGTCCTGGGCAGTGCTCCACGCCGTGAACTCCTTCTCAAACCTGCAGGAAGAGACACTCAGGTAACACTTAATGGTGGGGGGGGACTGAGGATGGCTCATCTTCTGTGTACATGGTGATTTCAGGAGACACCCCTGGCTGTCCCAACCTGTCCCCCCTGTATGCAGACATGTTTTTTCCAGCTGTCACAACTTGTGTGTGCATTGAAGGAAAATAGATGGCAGATAATTACAGGTTTAGGATGCACTTGCCTGAGCAGTTAAGGAGAACTTTTGGAGAGATGCCAGGGATGTGGGCAGGCCAACTCTGACTTTTCCTCATCCTGAGGGTTTAATTGCAGCTGTGGTACTCGGGCTTGTAAGTCTGGGCCTTCATTTCATTGGCTTTTGGGACAATATATTAGGTACCCTCTTAAGCACATCACAGGCAAAGGATTTACCTGAGGGCTGATTTTACAACAGAAGGTGAATAGGAACAGGGCAGCACATCTACCTTTTCCTCCCCATAACCTCGGTGGCAGGTAGCTTTTTTTGTGTGTGTAGCACAGATTTTATGGGTTTGACAGCTGTTTTACAGCCAGGTCCATGCTGATGGCAGGAGGCTGTGTGCTCAGAAAGGCTTTGTCTGATGGTCCCACTCTTTGCCAGGGTAAAGGAACCTGCCCAAGCTGGCCTCAGGCCCTTGTATCTCAAGTTTGATTCAGTTAAAGCTTAAGTTTCAGTGGTCCTTTAATCTGAGAGCCATTGCTGCTCTGGTTTGCACTGTACAGTATTTAAAAAAAAAAAAAAAAAAAAAAAAAAAAAAAAAAAAAAAAAAAAAAAAAAAAAAAAAAAAAAAAAAAAAAAAAAAAAAAAAAAAAAAAAAAAAAAAAAAAAAAAAAAAAAAAAAAAAAAAAAAAAAAAAAAAAAAAGAAGAAACCCAATTAAAAAATAAAAGAAAAATAACTAAAAAAAGAGAACAAAGAAAAGAAGAACAAAGAAAAAAAGAAATAAAAGAGACAAATAAGAAATGGGGGAAAGAAAAAGCCAGAACATCACTGCTGTGTTTCTCCTCAAAAACCCAGGCAAACTTCAAACCAAACAGCTGGTTTGAGCTACCCTGCTCACTCAGGGCGTGGGAAAAAAGTGTAGATCACTGGGCTACTGGAGATGAGGGTTTAGAAGGAAAAGCATTGCCTTTAGCGCAGTTTGGCCCCCTGCCATGCCCCAGGTTCATGATGTGAGAAAGCAGCGTTCAGGCTCCCCACCCATGCTCCTGCATTAACAAACTCCACGCTTGGTGCCTGCCGGAGGTGGGAAACTTCAAAGGTTAATGCAAAATTATTTTTAGTCTTGCTCACAGTTGATTCACCGAACAGCCTCTCTCCTCCGCAGGTCGCTGCTCTGGCAAACATCCATGAGCGTCCCAAACACAGCCCTGACAGAGGGGTCGGAGAATGTGTCACTGTGCTGGGACCCTCTGCGAGCCTAAAACCTTCCCCGGAGCATCCCCGAAGCATGTTGCAGTGGGTAAGATCTGAGGCCGTAACATGGAGACTACCAAGCAAAAAAACACTATTTCAGCAGTCTCCCTTGGACTCTGGGTAAATTTTAAAGAGACTCAGGAGGCAGCCCAGCTGTACGTTTTGCCCAGGTGTAGCAGAGAGGGTCTCGCCATCCATTTTTATGCCCAGAGACATGGCAGGTCAGAGAAAACCCTCTCAGCAGGACTCACCCCAGGACACCTAGATGATGTTTTGGGTAAACTGGCTTTGGGTCTGAGAGGTCCATAACTGCTGCTTGCTCACAGCTGAAGCTGCAAGTGACCACCATCCAATGCACAAAGGTCCTGGATGGATGTGATCACAGTGGTACCATCCCTTTCCAGACAGTAGCTCCTTCCTGGAGCTCTAGCATTAGATTCTGGGACTTGCAAGGGTCCTATCTGAGTCTGCTTATGGCTCCCTCCAGGTTGTTTTGCAGCTTGTTTGTTATTTGGCTCACTGTAATCTTTAATTCTCCCAGGAGCAGGCCTATGCCTGCTTGATACCAGTGCCTGGTCTAGTGCACAGACCTTTTCCCTGTGTTTTTACCAGTGTGAGACTCAAGTGAAAAGAAAGTACTGCCAGGAATGGTGATGACCTTGGTATGAATTCAAGCAGCTCTGTCATGCACAGCTCAAGCATTTTTGTTTCCAGGCTTCTGCTGATAGCTCCAGATAACTTCATGTGCTCGCCGATGATCTAAAAAAGGGCACAAAAAACCCCCAGTGAATGGGACGAGCATGGGTCAAACATCCTTCCCAAGGATCTCATGCAGCTTTGGTTAGTAAGGATGGCTTGCCTAGCCAAGGGGCAAACAGCCAACTTGTTGCCAGGAGATTTTCATTATTCTCTGGCAGTTTTAAAAATTATAATGGAGAATGGGCCAAGAAGCAGCAATTGATCTGTGATATAATCATTCATCCCTAATAGCCTCATGTCTTTTTGCTGTCTGCATGTGAGTTAGAGGAGATGTTGGCTGGAACTCCAATCTGTGCCAGTGCCATCCTCCTCTTTTGGGGGGTTTGTGGGAGGGATCAATCAGCAACCAAAGCCCAAGGGAAGCTGAGCAGTTCCCATGCTAACACCATGATAAGGACAAGCCCCATCCCTAGAGGCCCACACAGGTCCCATTCTCAGGAACAATACTAGGGCAGCACAGAGGGTCAGGCACCACCCTGAAACCTTGTTTGCACTGGAACTCCTCCTGGATTCCCATTCCCACAATCCTGGCTGCACCTTCAGAGTGAGGCATGTTGTAGTCCCATTCTCATGCTTCCTAAGGCCTCCTATCCATCTGCTAATCCAATTCAGACCCACCTTCCCCATGATCACATAATGTGTAATATTCCTCTATGGAAAAATAGTCACGGCAGCAGGCAAAACTCTTTGATTTTCTTTCTCTCTCCCTCTCTTTTTTGTTAGTATTGTTTAATTGAAGTGACTCAACCGATTGAGTGAGGAGAATGAATCCAAACCCCTCCTGGATTTATTACCCTGTAGTCCCTAAAGCTAGTAGGAGCTTTTGTTTTTTGTACTGTTTAAACTGGAGTGGCTTTTACTGCCTACGGCCTTTCCACAGCTTCCACAGCTCCGGGACAAAGTTGCTTTTTAAGCCAAGAGGGTTCTTTTCTAGCAAACCTTTTCTTTCCATCTTTTTTTCCCTTTCTCTTTCTTCTTTCTAATCAAAGAGGTTTAGGGACTTTAAAATCAGTTGCCTATTATGTTGCTGACACAATTGACAGCAGGTTTAATTTGCAGCTAGAAGGCAAGCGGGAGAGCCAGAAGTTGTAATAAATGGCATTTTCTGCTCTAATGTATTCTGCCAGTGCGTGACTTACATAAATTATCACAGGAGGCGGTACCTCCACCCCAGAAGGTAACGATCCAGTTTCCCTGGAGCCACAGAGCCCCCTCCCCTCCACATTACCCCAGCTAATTAAATACCGTTTGAATATCAAAGGAGAGCGAGGCGTGGTAGAGGTTTTCCTTCACTTCTGAATGAACTTCCTTCTCCCACTTCTCTGTGACCTCTAGTCTCAGGATGTTTCCAAAATAACTTTTGATTTTCTCCTAAATGTTAAACGTAGGAAGGAAACATGCAGCTCAGGATAAGGAAGCAAACATGAATACAGAGGCTCACTGCATTTTGCTCCATCGTCACGTGTGTGAGGTTCACGTGTGCAGCATGGAAAGGGGAGCAGAGTCTCAGGTGTTGTTTCAGTCCTGTCAGTCTAAACAGGATCTCAGGAGAAATCAGGAGCTGTGCTGCATGTGAGCAAGGTACTTTCATATCAAAGGAGAGTCATTCTCCTGGCAGGAAATAGTATGTCTGCTGTTTGCTTGATTACAAAGTCCTCCAGCACATGGAATGCACCACGTCAGGATTAAAGATCAAACCAGTCCTCTCCAGTGACACAGCCACTCAAGCAGGCAGCAACACTGTTCAGTCCTGGCTGAAAATCAACCTTGTTGCCGGAGAAACACTGATCTTTCACCAGCATGGTGGAGCAATACTGATTTCATTCAGCTGGGCACCTTGAGCTCATGTTGATCAGTGCCCTATTTCAGAGATAGTTGGCAAGAAAGGTGCCAGCAAGGGTGCCAGCAAGGACTGCAGAAAAACAACTGCAGAAGGGGCTTCCTCAGAGGACATGAATCAGGGGGGTGTCTTCTGGTGGGGATGCCAAAAGTTCTCTGCCTGTAGCAAACCTCAGATGTGCTGGACGAGATGCCACACAGTGACAGTAGCAGCTAAAATGGCTTTACACTTGGCTTTGCAATGCATTCAATCTGCTGAAGCCCAGCTACAACCTTTCATTAAGCCTCTGTCACACTGTGTGGGTCTGGTACAGTCTCTTTGACCCTGCTTGGGTCTCTGAGTTGGTGTTCAGGACCTTTTTGCCTTTGATTAAAGGCCATTCTGTGTGGTGCTGGCAGGACTCAACACCTGGTGGGGTTAGAAAACACAAGGCAGTTGTCCAAGATCTCTGCCTGGGAGGCTGGGGCTCCTGTACCTTCCC